CATCTGTAATGGGGTCTGGTGCCCTCTTCTGGCCTGCAGGCATACACACAGACAGAATATTGTATACATAATAAATAAATAAATATTAAAAAAAAGAAAAAGAAAAATAAATGAAGTAAGCACAAAAGTAAAAACAAACAAATAAATAAACAGACATTTTAAAAAAGAGGCACTAAGGAAATATAAAAGAGCACTGGGCCAGGATGGCAGCACACACTGGTAACCACCGCACTGCACATGGTCGAAGGAAGGCCAAGGCAGGATTAGAACTCCCGTGTCTTCTGCTCCACAGCAAGTTTGAGACCTGAGCTAATGAGACCCTACCTAAAAAGGACACCAGAACATTCCCAACCCTGAACGCGATGGCAGAACATATAGAACTAACTTACATTTGGCACATTTACTTCCTGTTCCCTAACTGTGGATTCCGTCTTCAATGAGGCGCTGCAAGCTTCGTAATGGAAGACCAGCAGTCTAAATGCCCCCTTACCTTAAGAGATGAGCTGATAATAATGGTGGTTGTCCACTTTATCTTTTCCTTTCCTCCACTTGTCTCCATTGGCGTGCCGTTGGGCGAGCCCAGACTCTGACTGCAGCACAATCCGAGGAAATGAAGAAATGTTTGATGAGTGAATAAACGTGAGACTAAGTATCAAAGTCAGAAAAGGAAGTGTCTGGCTGCACATTTGGCTTCTCTCATCCTACGTCTTACTAATTGTCTTTTCAAAAAAAAACAAAATCAGGGTCCCCCAAGCCTAGGTTGGCCTCAAACTCTTCCAAGTACAGAGATCACAGGTGTGAATCACCATGTCTGCTCTTAAGAGTTCTTGTAATATTTAGAGGCAATTGCTCCAAAGCACTAACCTAGAGAGAAGACGACTCGGGTCAACAGCTGTTTTATCTGATTTGTAAACCAGAGTTAGCCTGCCAATATCAGGAGTTTTTGTCCACAGTATTAACACCAGAATGTCTTTGGCATTAGCACTTTCTGGTAACAGTTCTTAAGCCCATACTCAAAGGGTCACGGGACAAAGGCCAGGTGATACCTAAGCACAAGCAGTTTGTGATGGGAGGGGACCAGTGTACTGGAATCCCTAACTTTTTATAAGCAATTATGAGTTCTATCCTGTAGGCAAATCCCATCTTCTCTGAAACACACATATCTAGCAACCAAACTGATTGTTATAGAATTCTATAAAACTAGGTTCTTTGGAGAAATAGCTGATTGCAGGACAAAGGCAGGAAATATTTAAGAGGAGCCAGGATTCTGTACCGCCCCGAAGTAAGGACAGGTTCAAAAATAAACCTCACCGACGGGCATTGTGGCAGAGGAGGCCAAGGACATGGACGAAGGTGAGCAGAGCAGTTTGAATGGAAAGACAAACTGTGATGGTTTGAGTAAAATCGGTCCCTATAGGCTCATAGCAAGGTGTGGCCTTGTTGGAGGAAGTGCTCACTGGGGGGCAGGCTTTGAGGTCTCATTCAAACCACTACACTGGGCACACTCTGCATTATCTATAACTTTCGTAAATCTGAATGTTCTAAAGATAGCTGACTCAGGACTGAAGAGGCGGCCCAACAGTTGAAAGCAATCTTGTAGAGGACCTGAGCTTGATTCACCCAAGTCATAGCAGTGGCTACAAACCCATTATGACTCCGCCTCTAAGAGGATCTGATTGATGCCTCCACCAGCTCAAACCTGCGCAGACTCACACCACATGCACAATGGAAAATGATCTTTTAAGACTTGTTTTATTTTGTGTATGGCTATTTTGCCTGTATCAATGATTATGTACCATAGGTGTGCCTAGTGGCCGCCGAGGCCAGAAGAGGGTGTCAGACCTCCTGGAACTGGAGTTACAGATGGTTGTGAACCACCATGTAGGTGCTTGGGATTGAACAAAGGTTTGTTGGAAAAGCGGCCAGTGCTCTTAACTGCTGAGCCATTTCTCTAGCTTCCAAATAACACATCTTTAGAATAATAAGCGTCAGCTTTTTCTTCAAAGCTCCTTAAAAATCCTGTCTACTCCAAAAAAATAACCCTCCAAACGAAATGAGACTTGTTCAGAATTTGCCTTCCTCGATTGAACACTTAGTGTATTTTCTCAACAAGACTGCTTGGAGGTGTATTTTATTTCAACAGCTAAACCATGCATGTCTAAATGTAGACTAAATTTACCTTCTGCGTGTTACCTAATATGGAAGTAGTTCAAAGCAAAGTTTAGAAAGCGACTCATGCAAATCAAAGTCACTTTGGGTGAGGGTGAGTTAGCAGTTCCCAAGACAGTCTCCGCTACTAAAACAGCTCCAGTAATTAGCAAGTTTCTCCTGCTGAGCTAAACCCGGCTGCTCCATAACGGCCTCCTCCTGCTGAGTTATAACCAGGCGATCCACAATGGCCTCCTCCTGCTGAGCTAAACCCAGCAGCTCCATAACATAACGGCCTCGTTTATGGCATGAATGAATGAATAACAAACTAGCTCTCCGAGAGCAAGACATTTTCTGGCGGACCTAACCCAGCTCTTGATACACGGTGAAGAAGGGGAAATCACCTCCCTGCCCCCACCATACACAATACAAGGCGGCACACAACACGGCAATGTTTGTAGATAGATTCTGAGCTCTGATTGATGCGTGTATATCAGTAGTAGACACATCTGTTTAACCCTTCGCACCCTTTATCTCGGTTTTGAAAACAAACTCTATGGGAAGAGAATCGGGGTCAGTACTTTCCCAAAGGGGCACTGTTGAGGATGAGAAATCAGAAACTAGGGCTAGGAAAGCAACGTTTCCTCGGTATTTCCATGGGAAAAAGTAGGCTAGCCGACAAGACAAGAACTCCTTCGCTCCGGAGCTACTTCACTTTGGCCAAATCACCTAACCTCGAGTTGGCCTGCTTCCTCTCCTGAAAATGAAACTAGGACCAGTTGGGTCGGGCTAGAGGTAGGAGGGGGCTTCAATTCCCAGCACGTGGCGCTCACATACACGAAGGCAGAGTTCCCACGCACACAAGGTAAAAAACAAACTCAATGTCCCCTAGGCCTGGGCTCTTGCTGCTCCTGTTTTGTTTTTCCCAAGATTGCGAATGTTCTTCAATTTAACTACTTTTAAGGTTGCACAGTAACTACCGGCAAACCACCTTCTCCGCTCTTGGGACCCACGGGATCCTCACGGAATCTCCTACTCCTCATTCTTTAGATAAAGAGATAAAACATAAATGCGCAGCGCTCAGGCAGAAAAGCGAGCACATCCAGGGCAGCCCTTCCCCGCCTTTCCCGCCAGGCCTCCCCAGGGAAGGAAGGGCGGGTTCGCCCCTCTGCCGCCCAGCCAGCCCCGAGGGAGCCCGAGGAAGCAGCACAGCCGGAGGGACGGCAGGACAGACAGACAGACAGACAGCCGGGTCTCCGGCGCCCTCCCAAGCACTCCTCACCCTCACCGCCAGGCCCCGGCTCCGCTCCTCCACGGCCACACTGAGCTTCGCCAGGCTCCAGGGCCGCCCCCCCCCCCCGGCCGCGGTGCATGCTGGGCGTTGACTTTTGCGCAGCCGCAGATCCCGCTGTGCGCCAAGGGCTAAGAAAAGGAACGCACGCGTGCTGACCCCGTGACTTTAGTCACAGCAGAGGCAGGCAGAGCTCTGGGAGTTTGTATCCTTTGATTGGCAACAACGACAAATCTAAGTGACCCGCATTTTGTCCAAATTGTGAAAAAGACCTAGATGTTCACTGATGGCTCTCTATGTAAAATATTTGTTCTTTTTTAGAGTCTAGTTTTCAGACCTAAACGAACTTAATAAGTTGTTTGATCGTTGTTGCTCAGAGTGATAAATGTTTTAAAAAGGAGGGAAAAAATTAGATTTGATTAATATCCGGGGGCTGGAGAGAGAGGTCAGAGGTTAAGAGCATTGTATTACTTCTCCGGATTATTTACGTCTGCAGTGACTGTAAACGCGGTCTTGGTCACCATCCACTCCTAGATTCCGGGTTTCCTCTTCGGCCCCCTGTCTTCCTCACACCCACCAGGCGTGTTCTGATGAAAGGCTCCTGCGTCAGTTTTTCTGTCCAAAGCTCGCTCTCCAGATGGCATCAAAGCTTATGATCAAGTATACTGTTTACAGTAAGACCTACCACAGCGCCCTGACCCTCTTAGCATGTCTGTTCATCCTTAGCTGTCACTTCTGACATGCTACACAAGTCATATGTGTGCTACTGACTGTTTATAGCTTTCCACGTCTCACTAGAAGGTAAAAGCCCACCCAAGAGCAAGGATGATTTTGCTTTTCCAGACAGGGTTTCTCTGTGTAATAACTGTCAGTGACCAGCCTCGACAAAAATACCTCTTGCCAGGGTAAGGGCATGGGGATTTAGAAATATAGTAAAGACTATGAAGATGCGAATGAAAATAATAAAACAGAGAAACATACAGGATAGTATCGGGAGGGAATTCCAGTAAGTACTGAAATTCACCCGCATTTAATTTCCAACTGCTTAAAATACCCCTGACCCCAAAAGGTAGGAGTAAGACAAAAGACTACATTAACATTATACAAAGAAATGAACATACCAATTGAAGGTCGCGGGCTACATTCAAAGTTAAGTATTCTGTTTTTTTTGTTTTGTTTTGTTTTTGTTTTTCGAGACAGGGTTTCTAGAACAAAGCAAGTCACTCACAAACCCTAGACCAAAACATTCTGTAGGCAAACCTCTCCCTAGGTGGAATCAGATGTTCCTTCATTTGGAACATCCTTCATTAAGGAACTGGACCCTTAGTCGGATCCTTAGACTTTTGAGGTAGAAACACCTGTTGACAATAACCTTGAGAGAGCAGAACTCTCTGGTCTACACCTGAGTGCGACCTGTGTTAAAGGTAGAAGCACTAGAGCTAAGTTCCAACTCTCTGACCTTTGGTCAACGTGGAAATAGGCTCACATTTTCAGACCTCCACAAACACTTCAAACTTAAGAGATCCTCCTGCCTCTAACTCCTGAGTGCTGGCAACTGCCCACCAAGAACAAGGATTTTTATCAGGCCAGGTTGCTGAGGCCTCTCTGGAGGTGTCTGGTATTAGACGTACCCATAGACTATGGAAACCTGACATTAAAGACACAGGGTTGTCTTCTCCACAGAGGACATGGATACCTGTTTTTCACCCGGAAGCCTGGGAGTGGATGTAGTTATAGCCTGGTAATCCGTGCCACACCTGAATCCCCTGAACTGACTCCTCCTCCCTAGACCTCTATCTTGGGCATCCTCAGTCAACACTTGCACTTTGTCACTCAGTGACCTCTACAACGACCTAGACCGGAACAGATCCACCCCCTAGACCCTTAAGCTAGGAAACCCTTCTTTTCTGAAAGAGGTCACGAGTAATTTGCAAGAGGTTCAATGTAGTCACGCCTGGAGCTTTATTGTACACATGGAATTGAGATGACTGTTAAGGAAAGTTGTAACTGAAACTGTACAGTTCTTAAATGCCTAAAAAAATAAACTGCCCAGAGTCAGACTCTAGAACTGACACTGGTAACTAAGTCAGGTCGAATCAGATTTCCTTCCTGCCTTATGCGGACTGTTCCTCTGCCAGCCCTGGTGTTTGCACAGACCCCACAATACACTGATTACTGAAGTAATGGTGACGGCCTCTGATCCTCCTGCACACAGGGTGTATGAGACTCCCCTGCACAGTAGCTGGAAGACACACAGTACCCGCGGGGCTTCATTTTTATTACAATTCTCAGCTCTATTACATTTAGGCTTTGGTCTTTATTTCAAGCTTTGGTCTTCTGGGTCCAGGTTAATTAGTCTGTCCAAGAGTATTTTCTAGAAAAAAATGTTCCACAGCTAACTTCTCTAAACAGGCTTTTACCCAGGATGCCTGTATGTTACTACAATTCACTCGTTCCTAGAACATGGTTGTTGAGTTGTGCTCTTACAGGTGCCTATATAATCCAGCCTCATATATGTTGCGATTAAACATAGAATATATTTGGCAACTCTGTAATGGCCCGACTCTCTGATTCATTATTTCCTAGCATTTCTAGATAGAAATACGTTTGGTTTACATTTCTGCTTAGACTAAGAACACTCCTAATTTAGAAGCTGTGAGAAAGTCACACTGAGAAATTCCACAAATTAGGTTCTCAGATTGAAAATACATACCTCAGCTTGAAAGCATAAAATCGATAAAAATGATTGTGTGTTTCACAAGCCTTTCATGTTAGTTCCAGGATGACAGACTGTTGTGAGAGGCAGGGAATAACTTGGTGTCAGGGAGATGCCTCTGTTGCACAAACAGCAGCGGACTCTCTTCCCTACCTTGCCTGATGCTTCAGGGGCTCCATGATAGTGTGCTATCTCAGTAATCCTGTTGCTTGGTTGCAGACATCACAGGACTCTTATTTTGAAGGTCCACTGCATGTTTGTTTGTTTTTTTTTCTGTGTGTTTGCTGCTTCATCTTTGATTGGATTCTTGGTTTTATTTTTGAGGCAGGGTCCCACTTTGTTGATCTGACAGCCTTAAACTCACAGAGATCCTCCTGCCTGGGATTAGAGGTGTGCACCACCAAGGCTTCCATCCCTATGCCTGATGTTTTTTTAAATTCATGTTATAATTCAAAAGGAAGCATAACACACATACACATGTGTGTGCATGCACAAGGACAAACCAACTGTGCAAAGAATCTGAGGAAAACCTTGCAGCTGTTTCCAATTATCTCTCACCTGTTTGTCTAAATATAAAAATTAATACAGTTGCTGTCAGCTCTCTGTGTGTGTGTTGTGTGTGTGTTAGCTTTCTGCTCTATAGCTAAATCCTAAGACAGCCTACTTGTATGAAGGAAGTTTGTTTTGGCTCAGTTTCAGTCCACATTCATGCTTTGGGCCTATGACAGCGCGTTACATAGTGTTGGTTGTGTGTGTAGACGTGTGTGTGTCACATGTCATATGAGAAGCAGAGAAACAGGAAAGAACCTGGGGTCCAAATCCCCCTCAAGGGCGCACCTTTGATGGCCTAACCTACTCCCATTCGGCCTCTACTCTTTCCAAAATTACACCACCTCACAGTAGCATCATTGCCTAGGGACCAAGCCTTCAGGATACAGATACAAACTCAGTATATAAATTCTCATTATTTAAATTAGACTAAAATGACTTACTATGTTGCAAACAGCAGGCTTGGTTTAACGAAGCCATTGTTATTTAATAACAGCTGGTTGTTTAACCTTGACAGCAGTTCTATTTTCTTATAAGTTTGAATATGCACGACTATGGGTTGGACAAAGAAAGCAGAACTTAGTTTTCCACTGAAACGCTCACGAAGACGTTCTGCCCTTTCCTACCTTCCTGGCTGTTTGTCCTCTTTGACTCAACTCTCTCCTGGTTATAGCTGACTCAGGAGAATCCATTGTTTCAGCATCCGTTGGAATAATAGATCACTGAAGCTAGTTATAAATTCAGTTGTGAGTTCCTGAACGTTTAGACATTCTTCTAGATTCTTAAGTTTGTCCAAGGAAAAGTACCTTCAGTCAGTCCTGGACACACACTAAAACAACCACAATGAAAACAACACCTCGACATAAGTCTGTCAACAAAAACTTTGAAATCGGAGGGACACCGAACCACATCAGCAACCTACCCAGGTCTCCCTTTGTGTAGGGATCGGCCACGGGGAAAGGAGTAAGTAAGGTCTCTCTTTTCCCGGCCTCGGAAAAGGGGTCTGTGCACGCTAGAACCTGATGTTGTAATCTGCTGGCCTGGGCTGTCACCTGGGTACCCTGTCTGTTAAAGAGACAAGTTCCACCCACTCCCCCCCCTTCAGCTGAGACAAGTGGTTATCCCACCTCCTTTCTGCCCTCCCCCCATTTATCTATCTCTATCTCTTTCTGCCTGCCCTACTTCTGGAGAGACAGCTTCTGCCTTTCTCTCTTCTCCCCTTCCCTTCCCCCTTCCTGACCCACTAAATAAACTCTGTACCCCAGCTCTCTCTGCATGGCGACTCTGTCTGTCTCCTGCCAAGGCCTCAGTCCCCCACCATGGGACCTGCCTACGCCTCTTGCCTCTCATGGGACCGGTCCCCACCACCTCTTTTATAAATGATAACACCTTATGATCATCATTTTTCTGGTCGTCTGTGCTCTCTGAGGCAGCCTGAGTTCTATTAGAGTTTCTTCTCTCTCCTCTGACTCCATGGCTCTGTGGATAGGTGAGCTCCAGAAAAAAAAAAAAAGGCAGGGACTGTTCTAGAAGTGTGGTGTAGGATGTTAGGTAGGAGTAGGCAGAGGGTAGGTCTCTGACAGGGAATTATCATTTACTGCCTGCTTCATTAATTCACGGTAACTTGTAGACAAATGTGGCCAAGCAAAAGTGCAGTTAATGGTGCCTGGTGCACATGCAGGCAGGCAGGGAGCAGACTGAGGGAGGCAGCCTCTGCTGACAAACTCTTTCTTATGGAAAAGCTGAATAAAGGACAAAAAAACCCACAGAAACCAAAAAACTAACATGGAGCCTGTGAAGTA